TGGCAGAGATGAGCAGCTCCTTTGTACACTCCTGGCACAAATACTTTGGATATGCGTCCCACTTGTCCACCTGAAACAAGCAGGTCCCCAATAAAATAATATATTTTAAGCAAATATTTTATATGTAAATTCACTTTTATTTCGCCACAGCGTTCCAGCAGTGTGCATAAGTCTGTCTGTTGCTCCTCCACATGCTCATAAATGTCCACCAATAGCTCGTCTTGCTTAAGACAAGCGCGACACAGCAATTCACTTAGCTCTGCAGGCATCTCTTCATTACTATTTATCAATTTAATTGGAAGTTCAAATTTACTGTATTTATCTGCACATGCGGGGGTTAATGGTTAAACACATTCAGTCATTTTTAGTACATTTTATAAATCAGCTGTTATTTCTTTTGTTATCGATATTAGTGATGTCACACAACATCGGTGCGTATTTAAAAAATATTAATTCGATAGTTTTCTCTACATGTGATTTATTTTTATTCTGATAATTTTTGTAATTTAGTAATTTATTGTTATAAAAACAGATACATTTTCTTGCTATCAAAATTACAAATAAATGAAATATTCCAAGTTGACCAGTGAACAATTTCTTATTTCAATTACATAGGTATATATGATATACAATATCCTTTGGCTTATTCAAGCTTATCAAAGTAGCCAAAATGCAAAAAGCGTTTCAGAGTATTTCTAACATCCTCTAAATAGTCATCATTATAATATAAACTTAACCTAAGTTCTCGATCCACAACAATTTCAGATATCTCAAACTTTCCCTTCTTCATTGCATGCATCACAGGCAAAAATGTTGTCAACAAAAAGAATTCTATACAAAAAAAATAAATGAATTTAGAAATATAAAAAATAAATAAATAAATAAATATGTTTTAAGAATTATGCACTCACCAAAATACTTATGTTGAAACATCTGTTGTCGAAACTCTGCTAAAGTGGGTAGCTCGCCATTAAAGTTTATCTTTTTCAAAGTCTCCGTAAAAGTAGTAAAGTAGATAAATATTAATTCGTCGCGTTGTAAATGCCGTTGCTCCGGCGACAGCATCTGATAGATCGAGTAAATGATATCGATGGACATGGGACCCACATTACTCATTTGGAAGTCCAAAAGCATGCAATCCTCAAGTGCTCCGCCTTCTTTGTTGTACTTGAACATTAAGTTCTTGATATGAAAGTCACCGTGAGAGAGGACATAATAGACATTTTCTTTGGGATTTTCTCTGTGGCCCTTAAAAGTTTCCCTGCAGCGCTTCATAAAGTTGGGCAGTATTTTCTCGAAGTAAGGCTTGTAAATGGTCAGATCTGGTACCGCTTCGAGCATTTCGACGAATATGTCCATCCCACTTATAAAGAACTTATCTTCTTCGATTTTTGGCAGCTCAAACAAGCTGTATTTCAATTCCTTGAGAAATTCCGGTTGCTCTTTGTTCAATTTATAGCTCACAGCATGCCACTTGCCCAGCTTACAGTATGCACTGCGAACCTCTTCGAAGGTCGGCTCCCTATCCCGAAGGACGGTGTAACCCTGCACCAATAGATCATCAAATATCATCACTTGTCTTGGCTTCATGCTGTGGTAGACGCAGGGCGCATACAATTTCGTCTCATCTCCAACTTCTCGGAGTACTTGCTCAAACTTGGGCAAGATCTTCGAGTACATCTTGATCTCGGTTTCAAAGATATGCGATTCACCCAACAGGTCCTTCTTGTGGCCGTCTTGCTCAGGCATAGTCTTGATGATGAGCGACTTGAAGTACTTTTCGCCCTCTGCTCTCTTATACTCCACTCCAGCTCTAAACATAACGCTGGCATAGTGATCGCCTTTGCCTGTGGCTGGTGACATCTTAACATCAATTATCTCCACCTGTTCGTCATTTTCATGGGCACTTAGCACTTCTCTGAAATATTGAGAATCCAGCCAAGAGGGCGCCTCCAGCTCGTCCTGATTGTAAGATTCCGTATTTGGAGCCATCTCGCGGATAAAATTAGTTGACGAAAAACTCAGTCTGAAGATTCTAAAGCAACATAATCGAATAAGCTACCCTAACCGCGTGGGCGAACTTTTATACATTTCGTTATCAGGGGGTATCTTAATAGCTGGCTCAGTTTATCTCAGTTTCATAAATCTAACTTGCACAGTCATTGCATTTATTTCCAACGTCATCATGGAAACAAGTTTTTCGTTTAACGACACATTGATAGCAGCTTTAATTCTTGTCTTGTTTTAAATTATTCATTATTTTATTTATTTATAAATTGACTTATATTTACCTATTATTTATATATTTTATTATTATTATTTACTTATTTATAGAACTTCATGAAATGTACAAAACTTTTTCAGAGTACTCATATCGCAACATCAGGGTAGACATTATTCCTTAAATTGAATAATATCAAAACTTGTTGGTTTGCTGGACAACCCAGATTAAGCTAGCTAAAGCAAAATTTCTGCCAGTCGGGTTTGTGTAGTGCATTCTCGTAAATTGTTCATTGCTGTGGTGAAGAAGTTTCCTAAGATAATAACATGTTTTAAATGCAAACACATCATTGAGTGGGTCTTCTGCTATCAGTGATAAGAAATATTGCGTAATTATTATTGATGTGGTGTTACATGATAGCTAATAGATAGTGATTGTTCGCAATTGAAAATTATTTGTTAGTTTACCTATTCAATCTGTTCGTTTATTAATATATGTCTGTACATATACGTAAAGCTATCCTAGTCATCCCTTCACATTTATTCAGTACCAGTGTTTGCTATTTTTGTTGTTATTAGTGAGGAATATGATCAAACAATCTCCAATGACAAAACAAAATATTGCGATCGAAAATTATTTTTCTTCCTGCAGGTCAAAATATCCCAAATGCAGCATTCGAGGCAAAAGATATTCCAGTTCTTGTTTGTAATCCTCATCCTGATACAACTGTTTGAGTAGGTTTTTATCCTGTAACAGTTTAGCAGGATCGTCGCCCTTACGCATGTTATAAGCTCCGGGCAAAAATATCGTGAACAACATAATATCTATTGGCGGCAGCAGAAAATGGCTATTAGTATGATCATACGTTGTTATGCTATGTTGTTACAGTATCACGACTGACTTACCGCTGTATCTCCTATCGAAAATCTGATTTCGAAAGTGTGTTAACCTGGGCATCTCTCCTTGATATCCGATTTTTGACAAAGTCTTGACGAAGGTATCGAAGTAGTAGTAGAGCAGAGCATCGCAATTATCCTTTCGGTCATTAGCACTGAGCAGCATATATTTCGCGTAATGCAAGTCGTTGGCTATGGATCCAATGTATGACAGCTGGAAGTCGAGCAGCATGCAGTCACTGTCCTTGTTGAACATCATGTTTCGGATATGAATGTCGCCGTGGCATAGCACATAGTACGCATTGTCCTGTCGGTTCTCGCGGTACTCCCGAATCACTTCTTGCCAGCGGAGAAGGAGATTTTCTCGCATGGGCTCAAAGTATTTGCGATACTCCTTCAAATTTTCCTCCTGACTGATCATGTCTATAAAATTAGGCAAGGCGTCCTTCATAAAGTCCTGCCCCAGAAAGTTTGGTATGGTCGTTAAATCAAACTTCAGCTCATCAAATATTCCGGGCTGATCCTTCAATAGCTTGAAACTAACCGCCTGCCATTTGGCAAGTTTTCCGAGCACCGATCGCAGCTCGTTTATGTTGACAAATCTGTTCCGGATTACTTGGTAGCCCTGGGGCAACAGGTCCTCAAAAATCATTACCTTCTTCGGGTGCAAGCTGTGATAGACGCAGGTCGCACAAAATGTAATCTCTTCCCCCGCCTCTCGAAGAATTGCCTGGAACTTAGGCAGCACTTGAGTGAACATTGCAATCTCTGTTTGGAATATCTTTGAGTCGCCCAAAAACTCCTTCTTGTGCCCATCGGCCTCAGGCATTGTCTTAATGATCAACGACTTGGAAAACTTTCTCTTATGTATCGAGTACTGGACATGGGCCCGGAACATCACACTTGCATAGTGATCGCCTCTAGCACTCGCCGGGGATATCTCTGAACTCGTCACTATTAGGCTGGGCTCTTTAAAGTGCTCTACTAGGGCATTCTGAAGGAATTGTTCGTCCAGCCAGGCGGGTGCTTCGAGCTCATCCGAATTGTAGTTAATATTATCGGTCATAATGAATGGAATGCCGTTCAAACACTGTAGTCAGTCGCGTAGCTGTCAATAAACTAATAAGAAACGAGTACTTTTCCGAATTTATATTATTGTTGCTATCATGAGCTTTCAAAGCTCCTTTAATTTCAGGTACATATATTGTTGTGAAATATATACTCGATGGATCGATTTTACTGATTATTAGGCAATATCAGAAACAATCAAGTAGATGTTCTTTTTTCTATACAATGAACAATTTTATAGATAACAATAATAATCTAGCTGTTTTTATTCGTGTTGTCCAGATAACGAAATGCAACTGCTGCTGATGCATATAAGCAAAATAGAGCCATTCAAATCATATTAGTACTCATCAGGGTCTGTAAATAAGTTGGGATATGTTGGGAATTGACCCAACAATATATCGATTTTTCTAATTTGAATTAATGATTAACTCTATAGATCTTTTGTAAACCAATCCTTATAAGATTTAAGAGTAAAATTAGAGATTTATACTTAAAAGCCTTGAAATTTATCTTTGATAAAAAATAAATAAATAAATAACAACATGTAAATAGTGAAGAAATTAAGTATACTAAATAATTGCCCTGGTTCTTCGACGGTCCCAGCGAAAGAAGAAGTAAACATTGAATTCATATTGGATTTACTTATTAATTTGTAAGGCCTATCTTTCTATTTATCTATATACATCTCACTCCCCCCTTCTCTCTATCTCCCTCTCTCTCTCTCTTCTGTCCTCTCTCTATTGTTCTCTCCATATTTCACTTAAATTAACAAATGTAACGTTGAGTCCATTGGGAC